ACTAGAGTAGTAGTGCTTTGAAGGCACACAAAATGTGAGGTGAAAAGAAAATCGTGTGTGTGTGTGTGTGTGTGTGTGTGTGTGTGTGTGTGTGTGTGTGTGTCTGTCTGTCTGTCTGTCTTGGGGGCTTTGGGGGGAAACAGTTCTGTTGGGGTTATGTGTTTGAAATGCTCCTGGGCAGTTGAATATTCAGGTCGGAAGTTTTTAGCAGGTAGACAGAGAGGAGAAATTTCTCACTTTAACAAATACAGTTAATGCCTGCAAAGCCCTTTGACGTATAAAATGTCATACAACATACAAAATTATCCCTCCCTTTCAGAAGCTTAATGCTGTAAGAAGGCCAAGTCATGGGTTCTACACTCAAGTTAGTGTAACACAAAACAGGTTCTAAGAGGTACCACAATGAAGAAGCAAAGTGGTCTGGGCTCAAGGAAGAGGGATCTCCTCTAGCTGTGGCAATCAGGGAAGACTTCCAGAGGAAGTGAGGTTCTCTGATTTAATGATTCTCTGCAGCTTTTTCTTCTGACTCTAGTGTCTGCTGATTTGTCCCATCTCTAAATGCCCTGAGTTCCTATGTTAGGGTGCCTCATAACAAAGTAGTGAGCTTTTCCTAACATTAAGTAGACCCAGTTTGCATGACTAGATTTTATTCTGACCTTTTAACAGGAGATCAAAGGGGCATGTCTTTTTTTGTCCTTACTGACAAAAAGCTTTTGATTTGGAGGGGAATGGCCTGTACAGGTCTGTGAGAGCCAACCATCTGGCAACCTGACACTTTTCCCATTTGTACTGAAGGTGAGGTGTCTGAAAACAAACATTATTGTCCTGTTACTTGTTTTATATGGGTTTGGCTGGTCTCTCAATGAGATGCTGCAGGCCAGAATCACTGTCAGTCTCTCTTGTTGTGCCACACAGAACTGGGCACAGAGCAGCTGTACAGAAATACTTGTTGAAATGCCTAAATTGAATCATGTTGATCTTGCACTCCCTTGTCAATGAGCAAGTCAAATTCTGTCCTGCCTTGTGTTCAGCATGTGAATCAGGCATAAACCACACGATTATTTAGACAGCTGTAGGAACAAAAGTTGCATACAATAGATTGGTGAGGAGCTAGGGAAATAATTCTCTTCACTGAATGAATGAAGTCAGAGCTCTGCTGAGATGAAATCAAACCAGTTTTGCTAGTTGTCTGGGGGAGGGGTGGGCTCTTTCCAATAGAACCTGGCATTGTTCCTATCAAGAATTATCCTTTGGAGGGGCAAAGAGCTATTGAGCCACTCCATTTAAAACATAGCTTTATGTCAAAAGGAAAAGAACCATGGCTTTTCCAAAAATCCTGTGCAGCAGCAGAGAAAAACTTAATTTTCAGCCCTTGCCTGGAAGCATTGGAGAAATGAAGCATTTTAGAGGGGGGAAAAACCTGCAGTGAGAGCCCTAAGAGGTTTATGGAGAAAATATTTAGACAGATTGAAAAGGTGGGTTCCATAAAGATCTGGCCTGGGGCTAAACCAAGCAGCTAAGATCTTCAAGGTTTCCCCCATGTTCCTAGCTATGCATCGCTACTCCTGCCTTTCCTAGCTGCTGCTCAGGAGCCTAGACCTAGGAGAGCCCCATTGCTTCTGGGCTTTGCTGGCAAGCAGGTCCCTTATAGCTAAATAACTAGCTAGTATGATATACTCACTTTAAACTCATAAAGGTAGTTAGTAGTTTCATATATTACTACTTCCTAAAAACACAGTGCCTTAACCCAAAATAATAAGTGATATGGGCATTTCAATCACTGTGTTAAGGCTGATGGGGAAGATACTGGGAATATCAGCTTTCTCCAGGCCTCAGATCATACCATCCATGGATTGCCAGCATACAGTGTTTAAGAGCTTGGTCTATGGTCAGTCAAGCTAGGGCTCCAGTCCTGGCTCCACCACTTACCAAGAATGAAAGCTTGGGGTCTGTCCCATCATCTACAAGATGGGTATACTAATATCTGCCTTTAGTGTTGCTGTGAGATGATGTATGTGAAAATCTGGTGCAGTGCCTGGCACACTGTAAGAGCTCAATAGATGGTATAGTTAACCTGACTATGTTAAGAACAGCTCCTAGTTACAACTCCTAAAAGACTTGAGTTAGCTACCAGACTTCACCTACCACATACACTAAGGAAAGGCGTCTTTGGAAATAGAGGGTTCTGCCAAGATTCATCCAGCACAGATTTATTTATTCAATCACTCATTCAACAAATATTTATTCAGTGTTTACCTTGTGTAGGGGATTTAGCAAAATATTGGGAATATAATAAAAACTAACACATGCTCCTAGTCCTTCAGCAACACCCAATCTTCTGGCTTTTAAGAAGCTCCTATAACTGCTCATACTGTACTGTTATTGTTGTTGTTGTTTTTAAGCCCCCTAAGGAGGAAATTGGAAAAGAACTCTATTTTCATTAACCTACACACAAATACAACATCACTTTGACAAACTGGGAAGCATGAGTCTTCCAAATTTGTTCCTCTTTTTCAGAATTGACTTGGCTTATTCTGCCTCCATTGTATTTCCATATGAATTTTCTAATCATCTTGTTAATTTCTGCAATGAAATACCTGGGGTTTTGATATAAATTGCATTGAACTTGTAGAACAGTTTGGGGAGTATTGCCATCTTAACAATATTAAGTCTTCCAAGATTTAATAAACCCTTACCATGTGCTAAGCATAGTTCTAAGTGCTTCATATGTAGTAACAGATCTTAATCCTCACAGCAACTGTATATAGCAGATGCTATTATCTGCATTCTTCAGATGAAGATGTTAAAGAACAGAACCACTGCAATCTAGCTCCAGAGTCTATAGTCTTAATTACTCTACTATATTGCTTTACAAACACACACACACACACATGCACACACATGCACACACACACACATCACTTGTGGCTTCCCATTGCTCTTAAAATGAGTGATACTATTTATAATGGCCTAAGACTACCATTTTGACCTTCTGTTAACCCCTGCCTACCTCTCCAGCATTTTCAACCGCATGTATCCCAGACTGCTTTAGTTCCCTGTACAAGTCATGCTCTTTTTCACCTCTATGACTTTAGTCATGTCATCCCCTTTTCTTTGGCTGTTTATTCCCTTCCTTTCTCCTCCCCTACACCTAGCCAACTTCTATATCCTTTAATGCTCTACTCAGGTACTGCCTCCTCCAAGAAGCTTTTGATGAGCAGTCCAGATTTGTCCCTCTTTTGTGCTCTCATTTTGCTTTGCTCGTATCCATTTTAGTGCCCTTACTATATTGCTTTATAATTGTCTTTTTATACATCTGTCTCCATCACTAGACTGTGTGCTCCCAGTGCTTTTCCCCATTGCATCCAAATATCTTGTTTTACCCTTCTACTTTTCTTTACTTTTTTCTAGGACATTTTTTCATCCCAGCCTTTGGCATAGGATGTAATGTCAAGAAGAGTTGAAAGGGACTATAGGATTTTGTCTTTTTGTGTGTGAAAAGGAGATGTGAGGCCATAATAGGGATCATGAACACCTTTGGAGAAATTGAGAATACATCATAAAAAGATTTTACAGCTTAGTTTTGGTAGTTTTGTAAGAGTAAACTGCTTTAGGGTAGGCTAGACCCCCAAATATATAATGGCTCAAACACAGTCATAACATTCCAAGACAGGTATTATTGGTGAGCAGGATAGTTCTCCTCCACATGGTCATTGGGGGATACAGGTTGGCAGAATTCCCTAAATCATCCTGAGTTACAGCATCCTGGTCAGCCAGAAGGGGGAAAGAACATGGAGGAACACACATGGTAGATCTCCATAGGCAGGCCTGGAAGTGCTACTCATCATTTCTCTGAACATTCCATTATCAAGAACTTAGTCATGTGGCCACACCTCACGGCAAAGGAGACTGGGAGATGTAGTCTAGCTATGTACTCAAGAAAGAGAAGAATGGTTTTGGTGGAGAAGCTAATGACCTTCATAAATATATTAACAGTAAAGTGGGATAAGTAAGATACATAGTGCAGCTCTGTTTAACCTTTCCCCTGGGTAGCTCTAGTAGTCAAGTATTTAAAATCATGGCTGACAGTTGAGTTCCTTATTGAGTTGCTTACTAAGAAAAGAGAATCTGGAAGGCGACTTGCAATGCTGATGATTCCTTAACTATTAATCACTGACACTTTGTAGATTGATTTTAAATAAAATCCCAGCTAAGTTGTATACATGTTATAATATTGGCCCCCAAATATATTTTCCTCCTTTGCATGTCTAGACTAGAGGGCGTTAAATAAATGGCATTAAATAAGTAGCAACCTGATTTATTGCTAGCTAACCAAGAGGTGCTCAGGACCAAAGGGGGGCGGGGGGCGTGGAGACAAAATAAAAAAGGGAATTCATTTCCATTCCAAACCATAGCCACAGTCATGAGCTGATTCCCTGCCAGTTTGTTTTTGCCCAAAGTGCACATTTGTTGATGACCTCACATAGGCTAGGGGAATGAGTAAATGTGAATCAATTTGAAATGAAAAATCCCCATGATTCTCTGCTAAGAGGCATGTAAGTTCTCAGGAGAAGTTTGTAAAACAGCTGCCCAGGCTCTACCACCCCCCCACCACCACCCCCTGAGAGGCTCATTTAGTCAGCCTGTGGTGCCACTTGGGAATATGGATTTTTTTTTAATGTTCCCTGGATGATTCTTATGCAGAGCCAGGTTTCAGGAACCATTTTTCTAACATGATGGGAGGTGGAATAGGGGGGCATGTCAAAGAACAAACCAAACAAAGTGATTTTGTTTAATATATGAAACAAATAATCCTAAGAAAGATCTAATCTCATAGCTTGACATGCAGAGCTATCTCGGGTCAGACCCATTCGTGGGAACCCAGAAATCAGGCCTCGGGGAATTGGCCATGCAGCTGGCTGTAAACTAGGAAAGGTATTACAAATGTAGACTTCCTCTTGGTAATCTCAGATGCCTAAATTGTTCTCTTCTTTTCCCAGTTTGTTGCTCAGCCCAATTGCCAACAGTTGCTTGCCACTCTGTGGTATGATGGCTTCCCTGGATGGCGGCGGAAACACTGGGTAATCAAGCTTCTGACCTGCATGACCATTGGGTTACTGTTTCCCATGCTGTCTATAGCTTATCTGATCTCACCCAGGAGCAACCTTGGTCTATTCATCAAGAAACCTTTTATCAAGTTTATCTGCCACACAGCATCATATCTGACCTTCCTCTTCATGCTTCTGCTTGCTTCTCAACACATCGTCAGAACAGACCTTCAAGTACAGGGGCCTCCCCCAACTGTCGTGGAATGGATGATATTGCCTTGGGTTCTTGGTGAGTCAAAGGGACTAGGAGATATGACCAGACTGACTTCTTGTCCTAGCTAAAGAAACTACTGGAATAGTCAGTTGGACTGGCTCTGAACTAGGGCACCTTCCTTCTGTGCAGTGGGGTAGTCCTTTGTTGGGAGTCTCAGAAATTTAATCCCTTCTTTGCCCCAGTCCCTGGTAACTCAGAATTGCCTGTTTTACAGTGAGACTGGCAGTGCACCCAGGGCTTGTTTCTGCTCAATTAACATCATCAAGGACAACGAAGGTGTCTGTCAGTTGGTTTAGAAGGAAAGCCAAGTGTCAGTCAGAACAGGCCTCATGTAAGTTAGGCAGGGCATGTGCTGATCAGTCTATTCAATGCTCACTTTCCCATAACTGGGAGGGGGGGCGGCACTTGCATCTACTTCTTTCTCATGGCTATTCCATACAATCCCAGTAAGTATTTACTCAGAGCAGACTTCCTTTTTGGATACTGATTTCACAATCAGGAGGAGAACCTGGGAAATTCACACAATTCATGGTAAAAACAGCCTTACTAGTACTCTCCAGGCATAATTAGATTGCACTGGACCCTCTAATGCATTGCCATCTTCCAAGTCTTTGCTAGTCAAACTGTGGTCCCCAATCCAGCAATGTCAGCATCACCTGGGATCTTGTTATTAGACATACAGAATATCAAGTCCTACTCTGGATCTATAGAATCAATCTGCATTTTAACATCATCCCCAGGTGATCTGCATGCACTTTAAAGTCTGAGAAGCACTGCCTTAGACTATAGTCATACACTGCTGCATTCCACATTCCAAGGTATCTATGCTATCAGTCAGAATTTCATGAAACCACCACACAATGAGAAGAGATAGGAGAAAAGAGGATTCTAAGTTATCTTGGGCCCCACTGCCTGGCTTCAGCCCCAACATCGAGTGTTTTGGTCCATGGTCAGCTTGCTCACCTCAAAACCCATTAAGAAATTTTCCCACTAGCACATATTGGAGACTAAGGACTATGGGATAATCCTGACTTAATTAATTTATTGATGAAATTATCCCCACTCTAAAATGGGAAGAGGGTAGAATCTGGCACCCAAAATTATAACAGCATTCCAGTAACTATAGCAACAATGCTAAAAGTGAGTAGTAGCCAGAAAAGTATAACATTATGTGTATACTTAGGTAAAGCCTATCAGGTTTGGTAAGTTCAGGAGTGGGAGGTGAGATAGAAAAGAAAAATAGGTAAATGATTACTGTCTCTAGGGGCTTCACTCCACTGACCCCAATTGATTCACTTTCATGTTTAGTTATGTGGGGGAATCCGACTATGATGATTATTCTGACCCTGTGAAGAAATAAACCTTTTGCTTCCATTCTTCAGGTTTCATTTGGGGGGAGATTAAGGAAATGTGGGATGGTGGATTTACTGAATACATCCACGACTGGTGGAACCTGATGGATTTTGCAATGAACTCACTGTACCTGGCAACTATTTCCTTGAAGATTGTGGCCTATGTCAAGGTAACTTGGAATGTCTGCCATTTTTTTAAAACAATAATTTTGGTTAAATTAAGTTTTAACACTGGGGACATAAAAAGTTTAAGGGAAAAGTTCTGATGACAGTCCCATCCATGTGGGAAAGTATCATATAAACATTCTTTTAATACTTTGTAAGCAGTGTCCGCTTAAGAAAAGAAAGTGGAGAATGGAGCAATTTGCAAATAAATCCTTAGCTTCTTAAACTCTGAGAGTAAAATGGTTTTCAGCCACCCATCCATCCAATAAGTGTTTAAATCCACTCTACAATATCTTTTCCAAGAAGACACCCCACCGGTGCTTGCATAGGACAGCGACAAAAAATTCACTGAATTCACTATCTCCAAAAGCTTCTCTCAACTTTTGTCACTTCATTAAAAAGTGCTAACTTTATATTTTTCTAATATTTTCTTCCTGTGACATATTCATTAGTACTCCTTCTTCCCTGTGGGGTCAAACAGAACAAGGCTGTTCCTTCTCCATAATAGTGCTTCCGATATGAAGTGTTCTATTCCTACCCCACTGAGTTTTCTCTTCTCAAAGTAAATATTAACACTTCTTCAAGTGTTCTTCCTGTGACAGATAGCAGAACACTAGAAACTTCACTGCATGAGACATAGACCTTTAATTGTCTCTGCTTCCCTCATCACTTCCACCACCAGGATCATCATTCAAGCTGTTATAAATCCAGCTTTTTCTAGTATCACCCAACCTATGTCTCTCTACCAATTCAGATAACATACATACACACACAAATACACAGATACACACACACCCCACCTGGATACTTTTCCTGCACATTGTACAGCCTAAATTATCCTGAAAAATAGTTTCATGTCCAGCCCTTTATATTAAGTAGTCACAGGCTTTGAGGTCAAATTTGGTTTTCATTAGATAATGGAATGGCCATCCCCCTTCTACCCTAAGCTGAACTTCTTCAGTACGAGGAAAGGCTGACAATTCAGTCTCCAAGATTATCTAGTCACTCATGCTTTTTGGCACTAAATTCCACATTAAGTTTTAGAATGGGAATATGGCTGTCCTCCAAATCTCCAACAACTTGCTTTATTTTTATATCCATAATATGCATATTGCATAAATTTTAAGATCTTGGGAGTTAGTTATATAGAGCATGAATATTGAATGCAGTCATGGAACATTTTTTAAGAAGCCTAAGAGTATGCCTTATACTTGTGGTGATCATTTAACACATACTTACAACTTCCTTATACAAGAAAAAGCTGGTGAGGAAATGTTTGAAGCTCTGGTTAATGTGCCTGGATGAAATCCATGTCATTCTGGCACTCTGCTGACTAAGTAACACTGTTTGCCAAAAAAATACATTTCTTCCTTTGGAAGTGGTATTTATACACTGGAGGGACAATAAATTATCAATCTAGAAATTGGTGGGTTTTGCCTAAATAGGAAAGTTTAAAATAAATGATCAAGAAAACAATTAACTATTGGGGATATGAAAATTTATCTATAGATGCCCAACATTAGCTAATTATATAACCTGTCCAACTTCACTGGTAAGGCTTCCAAGGAGCTAGATACTTCCCCATCACACAATGTAAGGATAAATCAGCTCTGCTAAGCTGAATGAATGTCCCTTAACTGAAAATACTTAACTCAAAGGAGACATTTTCCAAGAAGCTGTAGTCCTATAAAAAAGAAAATTTACAAAGCAAGACATGCCACATGCAATGAGAAATTATAAATGGGCAGTCTGGTCCACTCATCCGTAGAGCACACCAGCTTGAGATGAACTTGTTCTGAGCACCATGTAAGCTGAGCCAACCACTATAAGGTAAAACAAGAGCTGGTCTCCAGGCTCCTTGAAACATTTCAGATTACTGTCATACTGAGGAAGTACAGAAGCACCATGGGATAAGCTGGCCTTTAAAGATGCTTATTAGAGTGAAAAACTAGTCAACAATATATATACTCCACCTCACATGGTCTACAACAATAGGAACCAAAAGGCACAGACTAAAGTACTCAAAAGGAGCAAATACACATAAGGTTGGTCCTCAGTGCCCCCTAGATATCCCTACAAATGAAGAATAATTGTCCTTTTGTCTTCTAGGATAGTACCACTTAGATTTATTCCACCACTACCTTACTTCCATATACACAGACTAAATCTGAACTTTGATACTCATTGAATTGTAGTTCTTTCTTTAGCCAGTACTTAGCTGTAGATACACACACACCCATCCTTGTTATGATTGAGTACCCACATTAAGCTGGCCCTTTTCCTATTTTGCTTTTGAGTTAACAGAATGCAATTCACATGCGTTTGAAAGGCATTGAAGCCAATTTTTAAGGTGCATTGATCTCAAAAAATATAAGAAAAATCCCTTGCTTCCCAGTATCACTAACTCAAGAGTCAGGAAACCTGAATTTAATACCTGCTGTGCTACCCACAAACTGAATTACCATAGGTCATCCTTCTACCTCTCTGAGCCTTAAATTCTGCCTCTGAAAAATAAGACTGGACTAGATCTGTGGCTTTCAACCTTTTAATTTTTCCATGGAACCACATATTGAAATTAAAAGTTATGCAGAACTTCAATATATTAAAGAGCTTAAAGGATTGAGGAATGGGTCTTCAAGGCCTCCTCTACGGCTCCCGCACTGGCCACCAGATACCTCCACTGAACCCTCAGGTTTCAAGAAACACAGTTGGAAAACCACTTGTACTAGATCAGAGGTCAGAAAACTATGGTCTGCAGGACAAATTTGGCCTTCTGCCACATCTTTTTGTTTACATATTCTCTCCTAGTTCTATAAGAAATGAGTTGAGTAATGGTTACAGGAACCATATAGTCCACAAAGCCGAAAGTACAGGGTGGAGTAAAAGTAGGTTTACAGTTTGTTAATATGGGAAATAATATAGTAATTTATAAATAATAATACGAGAATAAATTCTGTGTTTCATGTACTTACAACTGCCAGCCTACTTTTGCCCCACTCTGTGTATGTACTATCTGGCCCCTTAACAGAACATTTTTGCTGACCTCCATTTTAAATGAGTTCCAAATTTATTCTCTGCTCTCATATTTTATATCTTTCTCCAAAGGTATATGCAAAGCATAGATATACCACAAGAATTATCTTTCACACTTCTGAGTGTTCTGCAAATTCAGACTTACCATTCCATGGGCAGCAGACTTTCCTGTGGTTACAGTTGTGGCTGTGGAGAGAAAAATACCTAAGTTAAGAGCTATACATTTTCCAGTTAATAATTTCTAGTTTTAAAACATAGGTCTGTTTTCTTATCATCAAGTCTCCGTCTTTTACATATACCTCAAAAACTTTAAAGGCCTATCTACCATATCTATCATATAAGTAACATTTAATAGAAATAGTGCTAGGCTGTTTAAAGACCTGAGTTTTAATCCTGGATCTGCCATCAACTTGCTGTGTGATCTTAAGGAAGTCACTCTGCCACTTTGTATTTCAGTTCCTCCACTTGTAAAACAGGCATAACAATACCACCCCTCCACAGCAAGGCAGCAAATTTTTTGGAAGGAAAAATGTAGAGATACAAGATTTGGCCAGGAGTGTACAAAACTGATTGGCCAACTAAAGTATATCTGAAACAGAAGCAGAATGTGGCAAGGTTTCTCCAAACTCCTCTGACAGTAAAGAATATTGGATATACACAAATGATTTTAACAACACCAGTTTCTCAGTTGTTGGAACTGAAGCACATTTTAGAAATGCTAACAATACAATATGCCCCCAATGCAACATTTTCTCAGGAAAGTTGTTTACATTTAGTCCTGAGAAACTGTGATATTTAGATGAGAGCTCAAGGCAATATGCTTCAGATTGAATTCCAAGCCAAATCTACTTCTGTCTTGGGAAGGTAATAAGCAATTCTTTATATTTCTATAACATCTCCCCTTATGGAGTACACAGACTTTCACATATGGATACATAATCACAAATGTGCAGAGTGGGTAGGAGCAGATATTATCCTTATTCTATGGTAAAGTTGAGAAATAAAGGCAATTTGGGGTTTTTGTTGTTATTTTGTTTTGTTTTTTGTTTTGTTTTGTTTTGTTTTTAGAAGGTAAACTTGCTCTTTAATGGGGAATGGGATGGAGTGCTCTTCCCCTTAGTGGGGTTAGGGTGTCAGAAGCACATCCCCTTGCAGGCTAAGTCAGCTCTGGCCTCCTGGATCTGTCTCTGCAGCTTGCAGACAGTGTCCTCAAGGGCGAGGAGGATGAGAGCAATGAGGGAATGGCCCTGATACGACCATGACAAAATTAGCACAATAGCTCTGCCTGGGTGGCCCTGACCATGGGAGCCCTGGACCTGGAGCTGCCTTGGTTATGCTAGGAGGTCCTCTGGCTACTGCCCACATGCTTGCTTGCTCACGTCTGCCTGCTGCTATGCCCTGGAGACTCTGGGCTATTGTGTGGCCACTTTTCATGAGAGATAAAGGTACTTTTAAGTGACAAAGTCCAATTGTGCCTTAGGTTTCACAATGAAGCCATCTTTCTACAAGACTGGACAGCCTATGTTCTAGGAGCTGGAAGTCCAGGACAGGGCTGAAAAATGGATAATAACCCAAGAAATACTGCCTCTTCACCTTCAATCCCCAGGTTGTTCATTTGTGCTAGACAGACATTTGAACTTGTAGGGCTGTCAAAGGAACAATAAGATATGTCCATATACCACTGTGTGGGCAGTACTAAATTCACTACATGGAAGATTGACATGTCATTTGTAATAGTGTGGAATACATTACAGACTGCAAAAAATTTAGCAGAAAACTCTGAGTAACAACCCTCTAAGGATGCTCCAGCAGCCCCAAACTGCAATCAGCAGGAAAGTCAGGATGAACACTGCACACTGCAGAGGCTGAACCTATCCCTTGACCTTCAGTAACAACTGGCCCATGGTGCTCAGAACAAAATGCAGGGGGGCAGTTGAGGAGGGAAATCTAATTTGAAATCTCATTAGGAAGCAGAGTAGTTCATCTCCACTTGGGCATACCAGTGGCTCAGTTCCAGTGACACTCGCCAACAATCTGGCAAACTCACAGTTAGAAAATGTCTGTTGACAAACCACAGGTAGCTGCTCCAGATGATTATTCCGAAATTCATTTTTCTATGTCTATATCCTGGGTATATATTTGGATGGGAGTGGGAGAAAGAGAGTTATTAGCATCATGTATTGATTGGGGGGGGGGACAAATAGTGTCATACACAGGACCTGTTGTATAAATGAATGCTTGATGTTTACTTTGGTGGCTTTATTTGGGTGCAGAAGATAGGAAAGAGGGAAAAGTTTTATAAATGCTCACTGTACTTCTCATCTTGTGCACTTGTTTCTTTCAGTATAATGGTTCTCGTCCAAGGGAAGAATGGGAAATGTGGCACCCGACTCTGATTGCAGAAGCACTCTTTGCGATATCCAACATTTTAAGTTCGTTGCGTCTCATATCCCTGTTCACAGCCAACTCCCATTTAGGGCCTCTGCAGATCTCTCTGGGGCGAATGCTGCTTGATATCCTCAAATTCCTTTTTATCTACTGCCTGGTCCTTCTGGCTTTTGCCAATGGATTGAACCAGCTTTACTTTTATTATGAGACCAGAGCAATTGATGAGCCAAACAACTGCAAGGGGATCCGATGTGAGAAACAGAACAATGCTTTCTCCACGTAAGACTCCCTCTCTCCTCTATGCCTTTTTCTGCCTTCCACTTCTTGCCCTATTTTCAGTTCAAAGTTTCATTACTGTCTCTTGACATTAAAGGGCCCCAAACAAGTCCACCCTACCCCAGTTTGGAGAAATTTTAAAAGCCAGAAGGCAAAAGCTACAATGAAAACCATGACCAGCAATCTCTTGGGGCAGTGGTTAGGGAAATTAATCAAGTTAGATTGACAAAAGGGCAAGGGTCTCTTGGCTCAACACCTGGCTGGGGACCCAAAATCTTTTTCACAAGAGTAAGTAAAATGGTCAGGAGGTGGAAAAGAGAAGTTTCCAGGACTCATTTAATACAGAAGTCCCACAAACTATGGTACAAAACCCATTGGTGAAGCCTTGACTCAGGCTACAATTAGATTGAGATAATATAAAAATGTAAGTGTTGATAGGATTATGAAAGTTGGAATGTTTGAGCAGGCTTTATGTAAAGAAGGTATGTCTCCTCTACCTTAATGTTTTATGAGAATAGATATTATTTCTGACAGTAGAACACTTTCCCTACCCAGTATTATAAAACCAAAACCTGTTGATGAAGACCTAATAGAGGCTGCAGTTAGGAACATAAGGGTTGATGAAATTAAGGTCAATATTTGTAGAATTGGTATGTTTGAACTGGCTTATGTGAAGTGGTTTCATCTCTTCTACCTGATTGTATTATTGGGATGAACACTGTATCTGAGTGAGGAATGCGTCCCCTACCTAGGATTATAAAACAGAAGGCATGTAAATTCTACCTTTCAAGCAACATTAATTGGATATGCTAAATGGGAACCAGTAAGGTTGCTTGAGCACAGTATAGAATAGAAGCTGGAATGCTGGTAGGGACAAATGCTCTGTGCTATAGTCCTATGTGGAGCATAGAATGGGATTTATGGCAAAAGCCTGTGAGCAACTCCCAGTAACAACGTACCCCCTTTCATAGAAGTTAGCTGGAGAGAGGAGACAGGTTGCAGGCCTGATTAAAATCAGCTTACCTTCTGGGATTAACTTAAGGCTTCGGGTACCAAGCACTGATTGGAAATGTTTCCCATTCCTACTTGGGACACAGTAGACAGCTCAAGACTCTCTGTCCATGAGTCCACTACCTCCAGACACATGGAACTCCTGTGCCTTTTCTTTATAAATTCAATACCTGCTTCTTTAGGAATCTTCAAGCCTTAAGAGTGACTTTTTTTTTTCTGACAAATCACTGTCAGGGAAATAGACAAGAGAAAGCAAATAAGCACATTTTAGGAAATTTGTTAGGTTCCAGGAGTGGTCATAGGCTTACCCTGGTCTCAGTGGCCTATACCTTGCCCATCTCCCCCCCGCCACCCCAGTTCTGGGGAGTACCACTCATCAATGGTATCACAGCAATGACCCCAAGGTTGTGAGATATTTATTCTTTGTCATTAAACTAAGATACAATTTTTCGCTTTAACTCTATAAATTGATGCGCTTTAGGAGATTCAGATATTCTAGAAATGTGTTTATTAACAAAGGCCAAGAAAAAAAGTATTTCTGCTTGACCCCAAGTTGCACATATCAAGAAGGGGGAAAACAATGCTATCTAGCTTATTCCTATTATTTGCCTCTAGCAGCATTTCCTAAAATGGGTTACAAATAACCACAGTTCATGGAAAAGTTAATAGACATGAAAACACCAGGACAAATTTTAAAAGGTTTCTTCACTGCAGGACTCAGAGACTTTCCATTGTGAATGCACAATTTAGGGAGAGGTTTCCCTAATGTATTGGCCAGGATGATGTTCCACTGAATAGGGTTTGAAAAATGTTGGCTTACTCCATTGCCCATTTTGCAGTACACAACCTCCTCCACTAGGCCACACCTCTTCCCTCTCAGGGTAAAATTTTGGATGAGGAAACCAGACTCATGTGAAAGGAAAGAGAGGCCAAAATGAGTTAACAAAGAAATAGTGCTATTTTGATTAAGCCAACCATGAATGTATAATGGCAACTGGCCACTTTGTCAGTGCCTCCAGACGAGAAACTGCTTCCTTTCCTGCATAACTCTAGAGACAGATTTCACATCAACCTGTTTTCAATATAAAGAGCAATCTTGTAGTGGCTTAAGCACTAGGAGACTGCATTTGTTCCCATCAAAGCATTCAATAGAACTGAACACCTGAATGCAATGTGCCTTCCAGGATTCCAGGTCTCTGCCAATTGCGATTTCATATAAACTCTGCTGAGGAAGTTTATGAAACACTGCCTTGCAAGTCTGTAGTGATTATTAACACCCCTGTTGCCAACTGACATTTTGCTCCTATCACTTGCCCAGCAGGGACAATTGACAAGAATTTGCACCACCATACACAAAATTATATCTTGGGGTGTCAGGTATGAAGAAGCATCATCCTGCTGGGGCCAAATCAGCAGTAATGTTAGCTCAACTTTCCTCTAGGTGTTGATTTTTTTTTCTTCCATAGAGGTCTGACTCAGATTTATGTTTTCTTTTAAATTACTCAACTCAGGCATTTATAAACCTATTAAAATACATGCTACTCCGAACATCAGAAAGACTCAGCTTTTAGAGTAGGGGAAAGTGAGTTTGTTTGTATACCTAGAACAAAGTATGGCATGTTTATTGTCATCCTTTTCCTTCTGATTCTCCAGAGATGCCATTGCTATTCTTTGACTTAAAAGAGAAAAAAATGTTTTTTCCGCCTGGGCACACAATTCAAGGGAACTTGATTGTCCTTGCTGACAACCACATGACAGTATTATTGATGGTTCTTGTTCAGTATTCCATACTGGGAGTACCTGGCCTTCATCTACTGTCAAGAGAAGCAACTGGGAAGGCATCATCATTCTAAGGGCACAGGACTTGTGAGAAAAAGGGTGGAAGTGGTAAGAAGCTAACTTGCCAGTCTTATATCTTTTTCTTAGTCCCCAGCCCTCATCTCCAAATGCCTCCTGAATACAACTGGCTGTGCCACATGCCTCTCAAACACAAAATTTCCACAGCTAAATTCTCTATCTCCATATCCCCACCCTAACCTATTTTCACTTTAATTCCTCATCTCATTAAGTGACATCAGCCAGAATCCTACGAGTCATCTGGGACTCTCACCCACTCTCTCATGCAACACATCTAGTCTCTCAGCCTTGTCAGTTCTACTTCCTAAACTTCCTAAATATTTCTTGAATCCATCCTAAACACACACACACACACACACACACACACACACACACACACACACACCACTGTCTTGGTGTCTTTGTTCAGCTCTGAATTATCTCTTCCAAGAACTGCTGCATACTTAACTGGTCTCCCAGCCTTAAGTCTTTCTTTTTTAAAAATTTTTATTGAATTTATTGGGGTGACATTGGTTAATAAAATTATATAGGTTTCAGGTATACAATTCTATAATGCATCATCCATATATTGTATTGTGTGCTCACCACCCCCCAAGTCAAGTCTCCTTCCATCACCATTTATCCCCGCTTTACCCTCTTTAACTTTGCCCAACCCCCCTATCCCTCTGGCAATCATGATACTGTTATCTGTGTCCATGAATTTTGGGGAATTAATCCCTTCATCTCCTCACCAAGCCCCCCAACTCACATCCCTTCTGACAGCTATCAGTCTGTTTTCTGTATCTATGAGTCTTTCTATTTTGTTTGTTTATTTTGTTCATTAGATTCCACATGTTAGTGAGATCATATGGTATTTATCTTTCTCTGGCTGGCTTATTTCACTTAGCATGGTGCTCTCCAGCTCCATCCATGCTGTTGCAAAGAGTAAGATTTCCTTCTTTTTTATGGCCAAGTAGTACTCTATTGTATAAATGTACCACAGCTGTATTACGCATCCATCTACTGATGGACATTTGGGCTGCTTCTAAATCTTGGCTATTGTAAATAACACTGCAATGAACATAGGGGTGCATGTATTCTTTCAAATTAGTGTTTTGGGTTTCTTCAGAAAAATCCCCAAAAGTGTAGTCACTGGTCATAAGACAGCTGCATTTTTAATTTTTTGAGGAACACCTATACTCATTTCCTTAGTGGCTGCACCAATCTGCATTCCCACCAACAGTGCACAAGTGTTCCCTTTTCTCCACATTCTGGCCAACATTTGTTGTTTGTTGATTTATTGATTATAACCATTCTGACAGGTGTGAGGTGATGATATCTCCTTGTGGTTTAATTTGCATTTCTCTGATAATTAGTAACTGAACATTTTTTTCATATGTGTATTGGCTATCAGTATGTCCTTTGGGAGAAGTGTCTATTCATATCCTTTGCCCATTTCTAAATTGGATTGTTTGGGGGTTGGGGGTGTTGAGTTTTATAAGTTCTTTATAAATCTTGGATATTAACCTCTTATCAGATGTTGATGAATATGTTCTCCTATTCAGTGGGTTGGCTTTTCATTTTGTTGATGGTTTCCTTTGCTGTGCAAAAAACTTTTTAGTTTGANAACCCCTTATAAGATGTATCATTGGCAAATACGTTTTCCCATTTAGTGGGTTGTCTTTTCATTTTGTTAATGGTTTCCTTTGTGTGCAAAACTTTTAAATTTTATGTTGTCCCATTTGTTTATTTTCTTTTGTTTCCCTTTCCCAAGGATATATTAGAAAAAACATTTCTAAGAGAAATGTCAGAAACGTTACTATGTTTTCTCCTAGGATTTTTATGATTTCCAGTCTTACGTTTAAGTCTTTAATCCATTTTGAGTTTATTCTTGTGTATGGTGTAAGAAGGTGGTCTAGTTTCATTTTTTTTTTTGCATGTATTTGTCCAATTTTCCCAGCACCATTTATTGAATAGATTATCTTTACCCCATTGTATGTTTTTGCATCCTTTGTCAAATATTAATTGGCCATAAAGTTGTGATTTATTTCTGGGCTCTCTATTCTGTTCCATTGATCTATATGTCTGTTTTTATGCCAGTACCATAATGTTTAGATGTCTATGGCCTTACTGTATAGCTTGATATCTGGTAGCAT